GTTTCACAATATTTCCCCCTACACCCTCCACCCTTTTCCGCCACTTTCAAACGCGCGACACGGTCTATTTAAAGAACGGCACCGCAGTCCTTCTCTCTCGTGCGCGAAGAATCACGCGTTGTTCTAAAATCTTAACAAGTGAATAATTAATCCGAAAATACATATAGTGCAACGATAATGATAAAAGTGGAATCGTGAAGTGATTGTTTGAACTTTTTGCCAGTGCCAAAGGATTAACTCGCCCTGTGAATGGACCACGTGCGAGCGGCTGAACAGACGTCAATCCGGGGGGTGAGTGATTTTTTACTTCCACTATCTTCTCTATTGGCTGTGGACTTTTGTACAATTATGTAACTTCCTATATCTTAAGTCATATTTCTACTATACTGAGCACGTACCAGAAATATATTACAGTATAGCTATGTTTTGGATGGGCAACTTAGAATTACATTAGTATCAGATACTCTTATTTGGTATACATCTATACCTTCTTCTGAATGACAAACTGTAAATCCACTGCGTACTAAATAATTTGGACTCTGCTGTCACCAAGGTAAATTCATAATCTAATGCTGGCATCAAGGGCTAGCCTCGACGTTAATTGATACCCTCTAAATTATACAGAACGTATGTTACCCTGCGTTGTCATAAATAGAGAATAGACTCTAGATAGACGGAGGGTAGGAATTCGTATTAACCCTACAATGGCCATCATATTTCTTGTATGACTATTTCTGACTATAGTCATTCGATCTTAATTTATCTCTTTATTAATCGATACGCCGCAGTCCGACGAATAAGAAAGTATATGCAAAATTTAGTTTTGATAAATATTTTGGAAACTATCAGCTATAGAAAACTAGACAGTTTTAGGAAACTTTAGAAAACAATCTCCTGAAGCCTGATTAGCGTTCTAGGGTTAATAAACGTAATCCAGTGTTGATGGATTATACAAGCATTCTTTATGTCGTTAGTGTACAAAAGTAAAGCAGGACACTTAATCCCCGTGTAAACGTCGCGCTTAATCTTGAAGGTGTCTTCAAGAAAAATATCCCACATTTACAGTGCCAAGTCGGCCAGGACTCCTAGCTTAATCGTTTCCACAATTGGCCAGTCAGAGAACGAAATGACAACGAGCAGGGAGGATTAAGCGTTATCGCCAACAAGGAAACTGCCTGTTCCTCCCTTATGGCGTAATGCTTTCACTCCCGTAAACGTACCACCCTCCCAAACCCCTTTACAGTAAGCGACTCGCTTACTGCCGAATGCGCAAACTTTTACTAGGCACGCGTATATCCATTCGCGTATACTACGCAAACTTGTACGATTGTAGCTACTATGGTACGACGTCATAAACATATGTATACGTATATACCCTACTAAGGCAACGTTCTACTAAACTTAATGGAGTCCTGCTCGAAAGTCTTTCGCTTGAGGAAATAGTAAGCAGTAGTAAGCTGGCTTTCTGGGGGAAGTTAGAAATCACTGCCCTAGATTTGCCCAAAATTTGTTTTGCGGGCACTGAAAAAAAGTGAAGAATGGCAGGGAGCGCGATCGGCGGTATCGTTCGTTCCACATTTTTCGTACAGAGTATTACGATTGGTATATTTATCGTTGCGATGATGTTAGGAATTTTTGTAATTTTTTTGAAAATATTTTTGACATCAACTGCAGGGTGGTATTCACTTGAAGGTTGTGTGTGTGGAGGGAAATAATTATTGTTGAATTATTATGACATCGTGCAGCGATGCATCGCAGATGATGCAAATGTTTATTTTTTACTTCCTCGAGTCGCAATCTTTATGGAGATTAAAATTGCATTCGTGGAACGGTGCATGCGACGACTGCAGTGTTTCTCGAACTAAGGATGCACTGCAGTCTCGACTCTGCCGGTTACTAGCCCCTGCATGCATCCACGTTGCATCTGGGAACACCGGCCGTTGAACGCCTTGTCAAGTACATGCACCACGGTGCATCCAACAATTCGTATAAATTCCCACGAGAAATATCATTTCGACCAAAGGTACTAGCAGTGGGAATATATTGACAATTTTTTTCTGAATATACAACCCGGATGCGTTTTGCAACAGAAAATATTTTTAAAAATAACTTTACACGTTTTTTCCAATTAAATTCAAATGCAGTGAAACGCTTCAATTCTGACAATGATATGAAGCATATTTTCATAGATGCAAAATATTCATTTGACAGCATCGCTTTACTGTCAGTATTCAAAAGTGTACTGCGAAGGTCTGTATTTTGACAGTCTACAGGGTAGTGTGTTCTTTTTGTACTGAATTGAAGAAAAAATGCCAGAGTGCACTTGGTGTCTGGTGGAGCGATGTAATTACTTGAAAAAAGAACTCACCCCTAACGAATGTCCCTGGAACTGGGTGGCGAGTTGGACGAGTGACGTTCGCTACCCAAGTGCAAGATGACAACGTAGCAATCAAGCGAGACACAGATCACCAAGGGAAAAAGTACGGGCGAGAGGCTAGAAGAATCTTTTTTGGAGACGCGGCTTCGCCGCTCGAGTGGTCGGTGTGGACTGCAGAAAACCCCGCAGATGATATCACGGTCCTAGGGGAGACTGCATGACATCACCGTCGGCCAATCCGGAGCTGCCTCACGTAGCGCAGACGCAACCCTCGTGAACCGCGGGGGCTGCGATATATCGCCATCGATTACAGGAACTTGGCGCGCGAGGGTGCCGCGTTCTTGCGGACGAACCCTGAAGCCACTTTGAGAATCGGGCGGGAAATAATGCGTTGCTCAGCAACAAATTTTCGAAATATAAAATTCTTTTTTAAAGTAAAAAAAGAGATTTGTAAGGATTCGAATTGTTTATTTCTATACGTGTACACAGAATCTTCTGTATTCAAGAGTGTGATAATATCGTCAACGGCAAACACCATAGACGACGTCCAGCTCCATCTTAGGAAAGCAGGAGCGTCCCGACGCCAACTTTACTTGCGCGTATTCGAATATCTTAGCATAACTTAACGCGTATTCGAAATAGGAAAGCGATTTTGAAGTTGGTGATGGAAAATAGAGACGAGAAAATACGTCAAGCCTCTTACGTTTACGAATCGGGCTAATATTCTGATTGTACCTAAGATATAAAATATTGAGGATCACCTATTTTTTTCTACATTAGGAATCAGTCGATTATGACGAACGAGAAAATTATACAACGGGCGCCCGAAAGTTGCCTGAGAAATGCGAAAGATTACAAATACAGTTTTTCCATGGGGAAACGAATCAAGTTATTCGTGAACTTTTGTGAACTTCCGTCGCAGTTACCAAGAGTGATCCGTCACTTGTTTATGACTTCAAAAAAAAAAAATACTCATCAAAAAGCTACAACCAACATATTTTTTTTTCATATTCAGAATTTTACATTCCCAAGATAGCTGGAATCGAAATTTACACGGATTGAACCACAATAGCGGCAACTAATTGGTATCGCGGAAAGCGACAATCCATTGAAGATATTTTCGATATGCGGTAAATTAATTTTGACATGGATCTTGTACCAAAGGGATACTAAAGGGATCTTATTTATGATAATAATTCATATAAGAAAATAATGATCCTGTACTCCCAACATTATAGTACACTAGACTGACACAGCTTCAGCCATCTTTTAATCTCACAACGAGATTTTAATCAGACACCCGTCAAAGCTGGATCATCCATAAATTTCCACAGGCGAGCACGCGGTGAATCTTATATTGGCCCAAGATGGTTCTGCGCCCAAGGAATGCAGGCACGCTCCCACGAGTCTTCAGACATTTTCTTATGCTTTATGACGTAATATTCGAAAGTAAGCGCATATATGTAGTAGCACATATGCATGCAGATACTAGCATGGCCTCAACCCCCAAGCATCGGGAACTTATAAGTCTCAACGCTGAGGTTACCAAGAATAAATTGGCTGTTCCGAAGCAACCTTTCTAAACGTTAAAAAAATCATGGAAGGATATTCATCCTGTAAAAGGATCTTCACGTACTCGCACATGATGAACGTACCTTGTTATATTTCGTAACTGAAACCCTAGTACGAACAGTCTGAAAGTGTCAGAGTGACCCCCTTTCAAACCCAAAATTAATTTCCTCGGCCAATGGTCAACCGCAAACGATACTTTGCTTTGTTAATTTGCATAAGTGGCCTATGGCTGCGGGACACTTTATTTAGAGTGGAAGAGCCGCTCGGATGTCTTTGATGTGACATTCTCGTTGGGATTTAAATGAGGGATCTCTTGTATCTGGGTATGAAATATCACACTGATCGACACTCAGATTTCATCCCTTATAGAAATCGTGTTCATGTTTGTACACAAGTGCATAATATTTCGAGAATAGAAAAATTGTTCCAGTCGATTCAGAAATGACTTGAAATCAATCTTCTCGATAGAATTTCTACGTTTAATTTTTGTTTGTCCAATTGCAAATTTTTTTGGGTTTGGACAATGAACTTTTTCTTTTGGCCGCACACAAAAGCAGATACATAGCCTTCCAATTTTAATTGACAGGAATGGACGTTTATGACTTGTGTTCATGTTTGTGATCGATGAACGAACGAGTAAAATTGAATGGAGAATCAGGGATTCGGAGGAAAGAGATAATAGACACTACCCGTTACGTAGGCAGACAGAAAACATTGTAAATTTTTCACCGATAATGAACTGTCAGCGGCTAACGAACGCATCCGTAACAACGCGATGAAACACAAAGCCGGCCTTGCCCGTTGAACGGGCGCGGTTGTTTCGGTCGCGCGAATATTTCAATAAGAGTCAAGTTTAAAACTTCGAGAGCGCCCAGTGCATTTCTTGAGCCACGTTAATTATTCGTGAAAAATATTACCAAAAATTTCCTAGAGACCCTGATTATTATTGGATCGTTACTCATTATCCAATGGCAGAATGCGCGACATCTTATCGCCACGTGTGAAGGAGCATTATCAGATAACATTACGTTATCACGCCTGACTGATCACGTCGTCTCCTCTTGAGTCAACAATTTCGGTTCAGTTTCAGTGCTCCCGAGTCATAGACAACGTTTCCACAGTTTGTTCTGTGCATTGCTGAAATTGTCTGTCTTGACAAACTTATTGGGAACTTATTGGGATTCGTCAAGCAGGTAAGAACAAAGGCACTTGCATAATCGAGTAGATCAAAGAGGTCACGTACGTCACTGTACAGCAAACCAATAGAAGACGTAAAGGCAGTGTCTTCGCGTAACGAGTATCCACAATAGGAATGATTTGAAATTCTCTAGGAAATATGGCGTCCCTCTACCCGAGTCTCCACGAGAAATTCAAGAGCGAGAGCGTCTGTCCGATATGCCTGATGGAAATGAGCCAAACGCCCAAGTTCACGTGCAGTAACGATCACGTACTGTGCCATCGCTGCAAGCCTTATTACTATGGCTGCCCTATTTGTCAGTTACCAATGGAAGTGGAAAGTCCTGGAATTGAAGTGGAATCGCCTCATATGCCGCCACCGATTCATTTCATGCCGCATCATATGCCTCGTGCATCTCCACATTGGCAGGGAGCTGGTGGTCCGTTAAACGAATTTCTCGGTCAGGAAAGAGGACCCTGGTCACCGCCGTCACCTAGTGATACTCAGGAACTTCACGCTTGCCGATATGCGTATCTGGGATGCTGGGTAAAATTTCCAGAGCATCTTCGTGAACTTCACGAGACCAGGTGCCAATTTCGACCGTTCCTGGAAGAAGAGCATCTGCCTACTGATTTGCCGAGTTCTGATGATCTGGTGGAGTGCACTTATCAGCCTGCAGGATGCAACGTTAGGATGCCATCGTGGAGACGTCGAATTCACGAGGAGGTATGCACCTACAAAGAAAGATTCGAAGCTCTTCAAGGATTGGATGAACCTTCCAATTGGTTGCTACCTGATCCTGATAACGTGACCTTTGAGAATGGCGAAGATCCTGAAGAATTGACCGAGTGCAAGTTCAGAATTTATGGGTGTCTTGTCAAAATGCCTCTAAGACGTAAGCTGATCCACGAACTGAAGTGCAACTATTCCAAGTATTATTCTGCTGAAGACTTTCCTGATGAAGCGGGAGAGGAGGAAGAGCAGGAGGAGACAGATGAGGATCCAGAACAGCAGGTGGATTGTAAATGGGCTGAGCTTGGATGCAAGATCAGGCCCAAACTTTATCGCGCTGAAATTCACGCTGAGAAGTGCAATTACAGGCTCGAGGATTGTGCCTACAAAGATAATGGATGCGAGGAACGTTTTCATCCTCCGAAAAGATACGTTCACGAGCGCTCCTGTCCGTTTGCCGAATAACTATCTAAACTTAAAAATTATTTTTAATGTTACGTATTCGAAAAAAAAAAAATCATCCCAGAACGAACAAAGCATAAGAAAAGTCTTTCTACCTTGAAATTGTAATTGTCCGTCTTGCTGAGCGAAAATGAAACCGACGCACGAGGGAATTTTCCACGGGAATTTCATGCCTTTATTTGCTCACGAGTGACAGTCAACAATTGGATTTTCCAGTAATGGAGAGGAAAAGTGTGCGATTAAACGTTTCTTATTTGACACGGCCATGCGTTTTCATTTGACCTCCACAAGCAGCGACGGCCAGAATATCCCAAGGGAGTTTTCGTCCATTATTCGCCAAGTGGACAGCGAACGAAAGGTTCCTTCGAAAGGAAATTGATATTAGTTATCGCGATTTCGCTCCATCCTTCTCCGTAGACATTTTTGCACAATAGACCATGGCAAGTCTTAACAAAAATGCTCCAACTTCTTTCGTACACAAACATACTGCATTAACTCAAAAAAAGATTCAAATCCACTACGGTCTTCGCGTCAAGCTGTGAACGACGCCCGGCGTCGGAAGCTGTATTTCGTAATACTCCACTAGGCGTTCTTAATCTCCTAGTGCATAACGGGAAGACGTACAACGGTTAGGATACTTTGAAATATCGATCGACCTTTATATCTATGCTCATATGAATATCTTTATTATATATACGTATAAGACGTGTAAGCCACATAAGGCTGTTAAATAATGGTATCACTTTGGATAGGTAATGTTAGATGATGTAAGAGACCCATCCCTTTCCTAAAATCCTTTCTCCAGGCTCCAGGTACTTGTTGTATATATATATATATATACACACAAACATCATGGTGCCCTTAGTTCACCCTACCCTACTGTCTGCCTACTATGGCAGCTGGTTAGACTCGTAAAACAGTTAATAATTTCCTGAGAAAATTGGGTTAGACATTTTATGTCGGTTGCGTTAGCTACTTCATAATTTAAAGGAGCCACCGTAAATTTAACGATAGGATCGCTCGATTAAGCTGTCGAGGGTTTATTGATTTCATTTCAAGCGGCACGTGCCCGAAAAAACATACTCGCTGTGCATTTGACATATCTAAATGCTAATTTTATGTTTAAGTATCTGCAAACGTGAATAATTAACCTTTCTGCTGGACAGAGACATGCGAAAGCGTCAGGGACGTCGAGGAAGATTCGCAGGATATTTGTGCCTTGTCGGTAATGTTTCTGGAAACAGGCTGTGTTAGAGAGACTCTTCAATTTCGAGAGACCCTTCAGGGAAAATACAGTAGAGGATTATTTACTTTCAGGACCCGTATCCCAATAGCTGGATACCGAAAACTTATACTCTCGTTCAAGGGATGATCTTGAGCATGATCGCCGAGGGTCCTGGGGGTGTCTTGAGGGGGTGGGATATCCGACACCTGGAGGCTAATGGTGCTCTTCCTCAGGGTTTCGCGATCTTTTCGCAACATCACCGACGAGAAAACCAGCGTCTCCTACGATGCCCCATACACCTATATACATATAAGACCTATTTGTAAGGCCGATGTTTGCGACAAAAGTTGCGACGTCGTTTAACGTACGCCGTGCAGAAATTTGCGAGACGCCAGTCTTTGTCCCTTTGTCAGGGCCAAATAGAAAAAGTGAGATGTAAATTGGAAACCAAAGAACAGTAAATGGAATATGGTACAAAAGCGACTGGTATACCGGCTACTTCTTTCAGGTATACTAAGGGCCGGTGGGAGGGAAATTCTAGGGAGGGTCATGGATCAGCATGAGCAACAGATAAACTATCAAAGGATTGTAAAATCCTTTTTGCTCTGATACCAGGAGCGTTTCTCAGAATTGAAATAACCTCAGGCTTCTTGCAGGATTAAATAACGAAATCGAAAGGATAGGATTGAATACTTGGAATTTATTGATACTCTGTTCTCTGTGATTTCACATGGTTGTCGAGATCGCCGGTATGTTTTCTGACGTCACTGCCAATGGAAATGCAAAATGGACACGCGAAAAGCTTTATACACTTCGTCTCCCATCTCGAGTACCAAGGGACCAAGTGGTCGAAAAATCTCGAGGATGACAGCAAATGCGAAACGCGAGACTCGAAAGTGAATAAATATCGAGCGACCGGTGCGGACCGTAAAATGCATGTCCACGGGTTGGTCCATCGCTACGGATGCTGGGACGGACAAAACTTTCTCAAGTTTCCAAGGAACGACAGTGTCTGGCCGACGGACGGAAAGGGACAGGGGTCTGTTTTACATAGTAAGAGCCTGAAGAAGAATTTGAATTCGTAAGGACCAAGCGTTGTCCTTAAAAGGAATCGAAGATCCGGATGGTACTCGTCCTTTTACACCAGTGAAAGTATCTCTGATTGCACAAAGACATCTCTGGGACATCGCTCGGACGTCTCTGGTCGAAGTCTTCTTCGAGTTCAGCCTGATTCGTATTCACAAGATGCGTCCACCCGCTGAACCCATCGTTCAATCTCACAATGACCTTGAAGTTAACGTACAACCATAAAGCGTACTGATTAATAATCAATATATAGAAAACGTCAGAATCTCCCTTAAAGTGGATGCACGACTAGGGGTGGATGAAGCGCCGTTAGCTGCACCATGCTAAAAGGGATGCAGCCATCATAATCAGGTATATGCATGCCAGAAGATGATGAAAGCTTCCCGCAACGGCAAAGTCTTGCCTGCGTAAAGTCAAGGGTGATTTCCAAAGGGGATGAAAATGTAAGAGGGAGATGAAAAGCAGGAAAACCAAGTCGCCGAATAATAATGAGTGAGCCACGGCATAAAAGTAATTAACACGCGACTTGCCTTATTGCTCCACTTCACCTAGATTAATCTGCGCCCTTGAGAATAAATAACTTTATCGGCAAGACGCCCCCCCCCCCCCC